TTTTGGGATCGGGTTGGGATAGAGACGGCATGCGCGCTCAGGACAAGATCTAACCCTCAGGCGGTTACAGGATTAATAGGAGTCGGGATAAGCTTGATGAGGATGAGGTTCGGAGGGAATTTAACGATGAGCAGTTAGCGAGGTTGGGGGATAAGAGTCCTTTGTTTAGGTATAAGGATTGAGATGATAGGGGATGGGGAGTTTACCGATTTGATGATGATGATGACAGGAGGGGTGTCGAGTAGATGTGCCTGACAGCCATCGGTGCAAGAACACGAAATCTTTCATACAATGTATACCCCGAGTCGCAGCGCTAAGACGACCATTCCCCAGGAGTCATATCTTCCATGTATATCATCACAAATATGTGAACGAAATCGGTTGAGCAACCACGGCACTTCACAGAAATGATAGATGAAATGTCCCTCATACCATTGAGCACTTGATCGCATCTCCCTCCCTTCCCTCCCTCCCATCTACTCCTTCAACACCCTATAAATCGGATACTCATCCCCAGCCTCAACCGGCACAATCCCAAACGTAACATAACTATCAACATTCTCCGGCTCAAGCGCAATAAACGCCAACGCAGCATTCTTCTGCCTCGTACTAACCCAAAAACTCCCCGCTGGCAAAAGCACCTCCTTCTCCTTCGGCTCCGTCGTAACGGTATTCAGAACATGTCCCTCATAAATCACACCCTCCAGAGAACTGCTCGTGATGTTGAGGGCTTGCACAGTGCCACGATAAGCGGAATCCAGAGTTTCGACTTCTAACCCCAGGATTCGAAGGCGTTCGGCTACTTCGTGCCAGGGGCGTGGGATGATGTATGCTTCTGGTCGGGAGCGGGTGAGGTTGGCGACGGAAGGTGTCGTGGCGTAGAAATCTATGGGGACCTGGACAATGCTGCCGGTTTTTCGATCGACCATTGTGAACGTGCGGTTTTGGAGGGTGTACGAGTCCGTCACGACGATGTCTTCATCGCTTTTGATAAATTCTTGGCGAGCGGTTTCTACGTTTTGCAGAATTTCGAGGTGGTTGTCGCGGGCCGTTTCGAGGATTGCTTCGAGTTTTAGTAGTGCTGTGGCGACACGGCGTTGGAAGTGTTGATTTGCGAGCCGGATTCCTCGCATTTCTAGCAGGAAGCTGATTGTTTGTGTCAGGCCGTGGGCGTTACGACCCGTTCTGGCTTCTGTCACGGCTTCTTCGAAGACGATTCGCGAGCCGGGGGTGGTGTTTGTTGCGCCTGTGACATAGGGCTCCCAGCGAAGACCATAGCTTTCTAGACGTGATCCCATCGCTGGGATGAAGCGGTCAAGCACTTCGGACCGGATTGTGGGATGAATGTTGGGGTTGATGCCGCCAGATATCATCGAATCGGAACCATGCTGATAGTCGCCACCGTAGATTGTAGGAGCAGTAAATTCGTGCAGATCGACTGCGATGTGTGGGCTGAACTTGCTGAATACTTTCTTGATCTCTCGAGACTGCTGCTTATCAAGCTTGATACTCTCTCGGTTAGGATCGAGGTTTGATGCGAGAACTCGCTGAAAATAAGCCACTCCGTCGACATTGTATCTTGGTAGAATTTTGATGTCCATGGTCTCCAGCAAGGAAGCGGTCCACGTCTGATTGGCGTCCATTTTTCCGAGAAGTGCAAGAGCGCCCTGATCTGCTGCAGGCTCATTGCCGTGGATAGCTGCCTGGATGTAGACCTGCAACTTTGTGCTGTTGTGTGTGTTCGCTGGCGAGCTAGAGAGGAACAAGTAGGGAATTGCTTTGCCTTCCTCTGACAGAAAGTCTGCGGCTTGGTAAGAGATCCAATCATTGCGGCTAGCGATGGAGCGAATGAAGTAGTCTGGTCAGATGTGAGTGCGTGAGCAGAGTTTATGTACCGTACAAGTTCATACCAAGCTCATAGAGATCTGTTGGGCCCTCAGTCCCATTTGCCCAGCCCGGTGGTAAGGTCGCTGGGTTCGTAAATGCTGGAGCAATCAGATCTATTCCTTCAATATCTGGGAACGCAGAGGCCACGACATCGCTGTCCTTGATCGTGGTGAGATAGTTGTCGCCGTACGTATATTGTGCGAACGACTTGGAGAGATATTGTAAGACTGCAAATAATGTTCCTGACCTGCAACTCCTGGGTGACGGCATGTCGTCCAGGCCTCTCTGAAGGCTTTCCTAGAAGCGACGTGAACTGGTCCTTGATGATTGAATGGTTTGATTCGCTTCAGCAGCGAGCGTTTTCCTCTGATTGAGGGAGTGGCACAACCCAATGCAAGGCAGATATTCTTCAATGCTCCATAAAGGTGAGAGTCAATGTACATGCCTACAGTGCGACAGACGTGAGAATATATGACTTCAACTCGTTGGCCGTCCAAATGTCTTCGCCGCCATTTTCGCCGCAGTAAATGATACCATTTGCGGCTTGTCATCGGCTGTCATCTCAAATTGATCAACTATTGGACAACGTGAGATGCCCAGCGCTCGTTCAGGAAGCTCGTGGTATAGAAGTCTTGGTCGTCTTGGTATACCATGTCTTTGGCCCCTCCGCCAAGCCATTCAAGGTGGGGCCCGGTATGCGCGGACGGAGGAATACCTGCTAGTATGATGACGTGCTACCTTCTGTAGCGCCTGGCCTATCCTATCTATTTCCGAACGCCGCAAGAATCACAGGAATGAGGATCGAGCAACGTGAGTGAAGCCGAGCCATCAATTTGACGCCGAGCCATCAATTTGACGCCGAGCCATCAATTTGACGCCGAGCCATCAATTTGACGCCGAGCCATCAATTTGACGCCGAGCCATCAATTCGACACCGAAATTACAAGTCAATCCGGATCCAGGTAAGGTAAGATAAACCATCGCTTCGACCTGCCAGGCAAGAGATGGCGAAAGATACCTAGAGTGTCTTCGTTCTACTCGATGGCGATCAATCACGGTGAGCGACAAGTTGATTCAGTGCCATAGGCTGTCCATTGATGCCGTTTGCGTATGGAATGCCCTCGGGTTATGCTGCGTCTCTTACTAACTCCTCATGGCTTTCCCTCTTTCGCGCAGGTCCTGCCTAGCACCAGAATGAGTCGCCAGCATAGGCAATATGCTGGACTGGCCCCTCTTTCGAACCTCGAGCACGGCAGCTGCACGTATGGAAGCGCTGCCAGTATGCAAATCCGAGTCTAAAGGCTGCAGTTGTAATCAATCCATCGGTGGTCGGCCCGTCTATGGTCTCTAGAAAGGTTCATTCCGCCGTAATATATGGAGCAGACCGGTTGCCTGTCTTGAAATGAAGGAGTAATCAGTCCTCATCTTCCTCATCCTCAAGGTCCTCCATATCCTCTGTATCAAACGGCATCATTTTCTCGCCCTTGGCTTCTGTGCTTGCTTCGACGACAAAGTTGGGCGCCACTTCACAATCGGTGAGTTTTGTCATTTCGTCGTCATCGTCGACCGGCTTCTTGGACTTCTTCTTCTCGCCTTCCACAACGGCAGAGCTCGGGTCTCGAGGCTTGAGGCCTTCAATTCTGGCTCGTCTACCAATGATACATCCGACCAATTGCACTCCATCGCCGACTGTGACGCCATCCATGAGCAGGCAGCGAGTGAGACGAGCACCAGCACCAATGTCACAATTTGCACCGATAACGCTCTCTTTGATATTGCTGCGAAAGCCAATCTTGACATTCTCCGCAACCAGGGAGTCCTCTTGAGATACCCGAGCTTGTTGAGCCAAAATTGCGGTGGGGTGGACTTTGTGTTCGTGGCCGAGCTGGTGCGACTGTTGCTTTGCAAGGTAAAGAGAGATATTTAGCAGTGCATGAGTGTTGTCGACGCGCCGTATGAGGGGTTGCGGAGATGTAGAGTTCGGTGTCGGTTGAACATATGCCAGGAGTGAAGGCAGCTCCAGCGTCTCAAGAGCAGGGATAGGTGCTGAGCCACCAACTCGAGAGGCAAAGCCCTTGGTACTTCGCGGGGGTGACGCAATCTTCGTGGTCGACAATTTAGCTGCGTCGGCGATGGGCTCCTCTAATTGTGAGCTCTCCATATCTTCTGACGAGTGTGCTGTTTGGCCGAGTGCTTCGTGTAATGAGATCTTCTCACCCAGGCCATTCTGCCACTGAGCCTTGGCCCACCAGCCAAGCACGTCTTCGCTGATTGAATCGAACTTTTCATTGCGGGCAGCATAATCTTTGACCCATTTCGGAAATATGTAGACATGGGCATCACGGTGCTTGCTCTTCATCTTGACTCGCCCGTACTTGCCAGATAACTGTGATCGGAGCTGGAAAATGCCCTGGCCATCCTGAATCTTGTCATTCAAGGTGTCAGTCGGCATGGCGATGACGAGCTGCTCGATGTCTTGTCGAAGGCTCCCATTCGGGGCTGGAACTGAAGGTAAGTCGAGCGGGACAGTGGCGATGAAATCAGTCTCGTCCTTCTTGTGGCTGATGCCTTCCAGTCCGAGCGTTGGATAGAACAGCGCAAGTCCGCCTTTCCGCTTGGTGCCTCTAGCAGAAAGCGAAAGTGGATTCAAGGTCATCCATTGCTGTATCAAGCGAGTGCCGTCGAGTTCTGAGATGAGATCGCAGGGGAGGACCACGAAGTCGGATGTGATTGCCTGTTGCACTTCAGGCAAACGAAGAAGGAGACCCGTTCCAGTCGTCGGCGTGAGATCAACTGGCGCTATAAGTTCTGGCTTGGGCGAAGGCAGACTTGTCAAGGCCGGATGTGTGGCCAGCGCCGACTCGAGCGCGTGTTGTGATTCTGGAGGAGTCACAAGAGTGATGTCTGGGGAAGGTATCAGCTTCTGGAAGGTCGCCACATGATGGAACGGCCTCACCATTGATTCCCATGCGATAGCACCAGTCCAGCGGATACCACACCATAGGCCGATTCGCGATCGGAATGAGCGCTTTGGGGAAGTCCTTTGGGATGGATGTGAATGTGCTGAGCGATTCGCCTGGACCACAAAGGATGATTGCCTGTAGGCCCGGCGAGGGCACCGTGGCGTGCGGCATGTTGTGTGGATTCCTGTTTGTATCCAATTCAACGTTGCAGTTGAAGATGTTGTTTCGAGTCACGCATCTCGAAATGCTCGGACCCCTGCCCTGATTAGGTTCGGCGCGTGCAGGGAAGCTCGGCTGCCAGCCACTTCACCATGCCAACCTCCCAGCTCACAACACCACTTCTATGTACAGTACATACTGCATACAAAAACATCCCAATGTAGCGCCTCGAGCGCAATAACAGCTCACAAAGATGTCCTACGACTACCGCAAAACAACGACAACGACGCGGAATCGTGGACGTCCTCTATACGCCCCTCCACCTCCACCTGGCGGGCACAGCCGCAGCCATTCAGTTCTGGGCTACTGGGTGCCTCTCGTGACAATTGGCACAATCGCAGTAGGTGGGCTTGCAGCGTGGATCTGGAGTGAACGAAGCGGCCATGACGAAGATGACTACCCATACGACAAGCCTCCGCGACCCCAGACCGGAGTAGGCGCACCATATCCCACCCAAGGCTCGCAACCATACCCTGGACCACCCCAGCCTGCGCCTGGACAGCCGGGATTCGTGCCTCTTCAAGAAGGAGGTCCTCCGCCTCCAGCAGGCGCAGATGGATCTACGGGCGGAAGCTGGGCTGCTGGCGGCGCAGCGAGCACGTATTTCAATGCCAGCTCGACACAAACGAGAGACGTCTCCGAGCAAGGTTTCTTCGGCAGAATGCAGGGCGCAATGCGAAGGACGCCCAGTCCACAGCAGTTTTTTGACAATGCCAGTAAGCAAGTCATGGGCGGCATGGCCGCAGCTGGCGCCGCGCTGAGCAGTATCATTGAGAATCCCGATTCGCGAGACCACAGTCAGGATGGCAGGAGACGAGATGAAAGAGATGGATTTAGTGACCACGAACGCTGGAGCGAAGAGGCTGAAGAAAGGCAGCGCATAAACATTACTGAGAGTGCGGGCGGCAAGCGCAGCTCGAGCAAGGGCAAGAGCAGGTCGAAACGGACTGTGGCGGTCGTTCTGAGCGCCGATGTTGATACATCGGCTGCTGATGATGATGCATTCCATACAGAGCATGGCGTAGGTCAAGCGGTCTTCCTCCCTTCTGGAAATCTGCTAACTTCATCCAGTCCATCTTGTCACATCTCCCATCAGCTCTTAACTCTGAGGTGACGGATCTGTTCGTCCTCATATATGCGCCGAACCTCAAGAATCTGCCCAAGCCGGAACAGGCTACATCCACTCTCGGCTCCAGCTACTCCGCAATTTCGACTCCTGCCCAGACCCCAGCTTCCGAATTGCCGTCCATGTCTCCACGCGTAGAGCCGGCAAATCCAACGTTTGACGCACTATACAACCAGGCACTGTCGCTGGTTAATCATCCGACACAGATAATGCCTTTCACCACTCCTGCTGGATATGTCTCAATGCTCAAGCATCTGTCACCACAGCTTGTGTACATCTCGGACACTTTGTCCGGCCACGATGGCGAGACTGTGGCTCAGCTGAAAGGCTGGGTAGGCCACACCGTTCTTGTCGTAGGTGACGAAGGACATGGAGGCCTTGCAGACACCGAGACCGAGACTGAGGATGAGAGCCGAAGACAGAAGAAGAGTGAGAAGAGCTGGTGGGAGAGATCAAGCTTTGTCGGTTTGGGTAAAGAGGTGGATGTTGTTGACGCCACCCGCGTTGCTGATGACTGGGCACGACGGGTTAATGGAAGAGAGTAAGCTTATGAGCTTGAGAGCAGGAAACATGTGCATAGCCCGCGAAGATCGCGTTTGATATCCCAGTACGAAATGATGATGTTGTTATGCAGCCCTCTTCCGCTGGACATTCAACTCTTGGTGCCATGACACAAGCCACACTGGCCATATCTGCGCAGACTCGATCCATGAAAGAATTGAGGCGCGCAAACAGATATTTCGATCATCGAAACCCTAAGCCGGGCGAACAAGCATGAGGAACAGATCAGAATTTACGGCAAAGAAGCATTGTCCAGCTCTTGATGACCAGGCAACAAACATATCAGCGCCCTCAAATATATATGCAGTGCCCACATCACGTCTGCAACGCCCTCGCAGAATCAACAAGAATGGACACAACGCCTCGGACTAAAATCCAACAATGCATACTCAGACTAAGGGCCGTGCTGTTCACTTTCCTCACTGCACGCATGCTTACATGTGAGAATGCTTTATGTGAGTTCGCATGTGATGAGACCCTTTCTGGAGGCACTATATGAGAACGCTTCGCTTCGTCATGCTTTCAATCTTTTACACACCACTGCGACACCACTCTGGACACAATATCAGACACTACATCCACCTATAGGCCTACTTGAGGCTCGATACTGGAAGAGCGACAGCATTCGTCGCCTGTTACAAACACGCGCCGCTTCGAAGAAGTATACACCATACACACAAAACCGCGCCGTCAAGCCACTACGCATTACATATTGAGCGCCGACCGCTACGGTCGTTCATTGAATTCAATCGGAATCGAAGTCTGCCTTCTGTCCCATCTTGACGCACTCTTGCCAAATGTCTCATCCATTCAAGGCATGGTATGACTTTGGAGGTGTGACGGAGCAGGAACTTCAGCAGGAGAAAGATGTAGACGAGCTCAGAGATTACTTTGTGGAGGACTGGGACAAGGACTGGGAAACTTCGTTTTGGGAGAAGGCTCATAGGGAAGTTATCGAGGGGCATGTTGGGGAGGATGTCGAGGAGCAACCTGCACCGATTGAGCTGGGAATTACTTCGGACCCAACGTCGACGCCATTTCTTGCGAGCTCAGTCTCCTCTGCGAGAAACCAAGTTCACGCGAAATCTCCTCCGACAGTGTTCTCGAAGCGGGGAATACACCATCTTGACGGAGGACTCGAGCAGACTCTTTTCGAAGACGACAGCGAGCTAGCTCTGAGACCGGCTAAGAGATTTAGAGGGTCATTCGCGGTTATGGAGCATAACGAGGACAAGGACGAGTCCGATTCAGATGTGATCACGCCTGCAGCTCCGAGGCGTAGCCAACCTACTCAGCCATTCAAGATATCTAAGAGCAAGCAGAAAATGTCCCGCGCAGACTCGAAGCTCGACTTAGCTAAGGACGAATCAGAATCTGAACAGCAAGGGAGCTTCAGCTCCCAGTCTAGATCTGCTGCTCCTCTTGTCCTCGTACCTTTAGCACCTCCGACCTCGAGGAACAGATCCCGAGTCCCGAGATCTCAAGCACAAAAGGATGCCATTCTTCAGATGCCGAAAGAAAGACGTCCAACTTTCAGCTGGTACCACCGACACAACCTGACTTGCGGAATCATGGAAGAACATCTCGGTCTAACCAGAAAAGTCCCGCAAGATGAACGAGACGGAGAACGCATCTTCAGTTTCCTCTTCGCGGACGACGTAGCGTTGTCTAGGCAGAAAGCTGGGAGCAAGTCTTGGGCTAAAGCCATCTACAATTCCTACGGTCAGAAGGATCGCACTAGTGCAAGACGTCGTTGGGATCCCGTACAGGCTGCGATCGAGGCACCAGCACATTCTAAGCCTGTCGAGTACACCGAGTTAGTACAGAAAGTAAGGGACGCGGCAAACCAGCTCAATATACAGAGTAGGCTTCCTCCGGGTCAGACGAAAATAGTGGATTTCACCAAGAACTTTTGAGGGAACTTGAATGCGATGGAGGAAATGATTACGGAAGAGAATAGCGTTGCATTCCTAGACGTATTTCAGATCATGTACTCCAGAATCTCGGAAAGCTTTTCGTAGAATGTACTCGAGAAAAGGGTTACGGAGGAGAGTAGGGCAGGGCCTTTTTGGGCGCGTAATTTTCTAGCAATATACTCTTAAATGCTCGAAGTATCTTCCTAGAATATACCGTTTCTCCTTAAATCAATACTATATTGCTCTATCTCTGTCAGGGCCAAAGGGGCTACACGTGATTGGCATGTAACTAGGCCGAGTAAAGCCAGGGTCTCAGTGCCTCAGGCAGGGCTTGGCGCTTGGCGTTAGGCTAACTGGCCTGCCTTCCTCCCTCTCCTCCTAGATCCTTATCGAATACTACCTATACCTACTACTACCCTATCTACCTACTAATATAACCCTTCTTATATAGTATTCGATCTACCCTTTAAGGGCAGTAGCTAGATAGTCCTTATTTTAAGCTTTTAGTAGTATAGCTACGAAAACTATCGATTTAACTATATTACGCCCGAAGAACGGGACCTATACGTACTATTCTATCGAAACAACCGTACTAATTATTAAGCAAGGCCTTCTATACGGCCTATTATACTAAATTAATCGCACTAAGCCGATACCTACTAATTCCGCTATATCCGTACTATAGAGGCCTATAATATATTATTAGTATTACCTCTTATTACAATAGCCGGCTTATTACGAAGCAACAACAATAACCGCGGCGCCGCTAGTAGCGCTAGCAATAACAACACTAGTAGTTGTAAGAAGGGTTATATTAGCAGGTAGATAGGGTAGTAGTAAATTAGTTTAGTATTCGATAAGGATCTAGGAGGAGAGGGAGGAAGGCAGGAGAGTTAGCCTAACGCCAAGCGCCAAGCCCTACCTAGGGCATTAAGACCCTAGCTTTACTCGGCCTAGTTATATACCAATTACGTATAGCCTCTTTAGCCCTAATATACGCTTCCTTTCTAAAGGCCGCGCCCTCGTAGCCGGTCTTTGTTCTAGTCTTAACCCCTATTGCTACTAACTTAGCAGGTCTAATAAGCCGCTTAGTCCGCGCTAAATTGAACACTTAACTATCTAATTATGTAACTATATTAAACCTTACCTTTAACACAATATCTAACTCTAACTACGCTATCCTTATATATAATAAAGTAATATATAACTATAAGAATTGAGGACTATCGACTAATTACAATACGAGCGCGTCTTCCCTACTATAATAGGTAGACGTACGAGGTATTACAGCCCTACCTCCGTTCTAAGTAATATCGTACCGAGTTCTTTGCGTCTACTCTTAAAAGACCTAGCAATGTCCGCTTCCGAGGGTTTGTCCGCTTCCGAGGGTTATTGTTCTTATTGTTTGTAGTTTCGCTAGCCCTAATTAGCTAGGTTTAGTAGCCTTCAATTGTTAATCTTATCTTATCTTTTCCGAAAAAACATAGCTCGTCTAGTTTCTATAGGTAAAGGCTATTATAAGTGTAGTAGTAGAGGTTCGCCCCGCTTAAAGGGTTAGATAGATCGAGGAGTAACCTATTGTCCGTAAGATCGACCCCGGCTAGCTTAGCTCTATAGTTTTGCCCTTAGTTAGTCTATTAGTCGCTCAATCTTTTAGGCGGCTTAAAGTTTTAATCAAAGTTTTAATTAAAGGCGCCTCGGCTCGTAGTATAGGTAAGGTTGTGCCTATAGGCGCAGTAACAATAGTAAGTAATATTAATAATAGCGGTGCTAGCCGTCTTAGCGCTAACTTTACCTTGCTTCTAATTTCCTTCTTTAACTAATAACAACTCGGCAACACCGTTACTAATATAGCGGTATCCTTCCTTTCTTAAACAGTAACACACTCCGTAACACTATTACTAATATAGCCGCGCCGGCCGCGCCGTCGTTATTATTACTATCGCTATTTACGCGCGCGCCGTCCTCGCAGATCGCCTAGGCCTTAAGGCCTCGATAGAATAAAGGAATAAAAGGGGGACCTATAGGGCGTATTAGTAAAGAGGTAGAGTCCTTAAAAGAGTAGGCAATTAGTTAATTAACGCGTCGTAGCGCACCTAGTATAGTCTTATTGTCCTAGTTTGCCGGCCTCTAATTAGTTAGCTAATAGCACCCCGGGGGTAGCATTGTCCTAGGCCTTAATAGTAACATTATAAGCTTTTAGCCTTCTTCTTGTTCTTTACGCTAGTCTAATACTTATCTAATAACTCGGTTATGTCCTTAAAGGATCCTTTAGCTTCCTACGAGTCCTATTTAGGTAAATAGCCTTGCTACCTTAGGAGGTATTCCTTCTTGCCTTTCCTAGTCCGGTGCTATAGGATACGTTCTATAGACTATAGCTCTTCGCTATTAGCTAGTATGTCCTCGGATTTAGTAGGTGCTTTATCCCCTTCGCGTAGGTAGTACGGCTTAAGGAGGGATATATAGAAGGTGTTATAGATAGTGTAATAAGGTAGAAGCTACAACTAGTAAGCCTGTATACCCTTAGCTTCTCGAATACGGAATAGGCCAATGTATCTTAGTGCGAGCTTAGGCCTTGTTTTGCTATTAGGTAATAGGTGTTTGCGGATACGGAGGTTCTTAGTACTTAGCATAACTAGGTCGCCTTGCTTGAAGGTCGTTAGCGTATAGTGTTTGTTATAATAGGTCTTTTAGTCCTCTTAAGCCTTCGTCAACTTCTCGGCTATCTTAGTATAGATTTCTCGCATCTTTTGAACCCTCTTAATAGCTGCTAGTATCTTAGGTATTAGCACTTAACGCGCTTCCCTTTCCTTACGCTCGGCCTCGAGCGATAGGGGGTCTTATAGCATCGCAGCGTTCTAGCCTATTATAGCTATATATAGTAATACCTTAGTTAATAAGTAGACACTGTTATTATATACAAATTCAGCTAGTTATAGGAGGTTAACCTAGTCGTTAGGATTCTCGTTAATATAGCTGCGTAGGTATTGCTATAGGGTAGCATTCTACCTCTCTATTTAACCGTTAGTCTATAGATAGAAGGCTGTTAATAGCCGATGCTTTAGTCTTAGCTATAGGCATATTTCGCTCTAATAGTGCGATATGAATATCGAGCCCCTATCGGAGACTATCCCCTTAGGGGTTCCCTAATAGGTATAGAAGATGTTAGTCTATAGCGCCTTAGCTAGGTTAATAGCCGTCTAATCCTTTCGGGCAGGAATGTAACGAGCGCCCTTAGTAAACCGGTCTACGATAACTAGGATAGCATTATACACATCCTTGCTTCCTCTACGCTTAGCAGGCGGGAGGCCTGTAATAAAATCTATTGTAAGCTTAGCAAATAGCTTCTTTAGAACAGGGAGTGAAGACAACTCGCTAAATAGTAAGTGCTTTAGTGCTTTGACTCGTTAATATACGGCATACGTGTTTACGTAGTCCTTTATGTCCCGCTTACTATTTAGCTAGTAGTATGTGCGCGATAGTAGCTCGTGCGACCTCTCTATGCTATAGTAACCGGCAAGCTTACTATTATAGTGTCGCTTAAGAAGTTCTTGTCTAATCGATTGTTTAGCGGGGACATAGTATCTGCCCTTAAACCTTAAGTAACCTTTGTCGTCGATCGACTAATTACTCTTACTAGATCGAGTCTTTCGCCTACTTATAAGCTTGTCTATACGTTTAGTAGCAAAGGCGTCCCTCTGCTAAGCCCGTAATAGCTTATCTATAAACGATTGACTATCCCTATTTGTAAGGTTATTTAATAGCACCCTCGCTATTAAACGAGGTACGCATTATATGCATCTAATAGTACTAGCAGCCGGATTAACTATATTAGTGCTTTAATCGCTATTACTATATATAGCGATATCGACTAGGGAGTTATTATAACTTCTCCTATCTGTGTCCTTAGCTCTTGCCTTAATACGCACTATTAATATAGCAAGAGTATTAATATACTTCAAGCCGTCGCAGAGTCCGGTAAGCCGCTTATCCTACGCGTGCTTATTAACAACACGGGCTATAGCAATCTTATGCTATAGGGTTAGAAACAATAAATTAATAGATTGCTAAGTCCCGCTATCGTAATTAGGTCGCCTCGATAGGCTATTAGTAGGGTTGCTTACGCCTAGCCGATATAACACATTAAAATCAAACCTAGCGAGGTAGACGGCCTATCTAGCTTGTCGACCTATAACCCTAGTAACCTTCGTAATTCTACGGAGGTTATTATAGTCCGTATAGACCTGAATAGTGTACTATACGCTATCGAGATAGTAGCGCTAGTGCTTAAAGGCCTCGATAATAGCTAGGAGCTCTTGCTCGTAGGTCTCGTAGCGGCGCTTAGCGTTAATCATCTTCCTCGAGAAGAAGGCAATCGGGTGCTAATAATAGTCCTTATCTAATTGCTAGGATATAATAGCCGATATAGCGAACTATAAAGCGTTAGTCTTAATGCGGATTAGTTTGCTTAGTACGAAATAGTATAATAAGGGGACTTTAGTAAAGCGTTGCTTTAAGCCGTTAAAAGCGGCTTATGCTCTATTAGTCTATTTAAACTCTTTAGTCGGGTTAGCCTTAGTTTTAGTAAGCTTAGTTAGAGGCATTATATGCCGTAAATAGCTCTTAATAAAACGACGATAGAAATTAGCGAAGCCGAGGAACGACTAAAGTTCCTTAATACTAGTAGGTATTAGCTACTTAGTAATAGTCTTAACCCGGTTAGGATCAGCCTTAACGCCCTTAGTCGATACGAGGAAGCTAAGGAAGGACACCTCTTTAGTAGCAAAGGTGCATTTAGAAGGCTTGCAATATAAGCTATAGGCTCGTAGGCGATCGAGCACCTTACGGACTATAGCCTAGTGCTCCGCAATGTTAGGTAAATGTGTGTAAACTAGGATGTTATCTAGGTAAACCACACAGAGATAGTCTAATAGGCCTAAAAGGGCCTAATTAATATAGGACTGAAATGTTATAGGGGCATTAGCTAGGCTAAATAGCATAACTAAGTATTCGAAATAGCTATAGCGAGTACGGAAGGCTGTTTTCTATTCGTCGCCCTTACGAATGCGGATACGATAGTACGCATCCTTAATGTCTAGTATAGTATAGTAGTAGGCACCCGAAAGGCGATCGAGGGTCTTATTAATAAGAGGAAGTAGATAGCGGTCTTTAATAGTAACAGTATTAAGCCCTCGATAGTCGACACATAGACGCAGGCTACTATCTTTCTTTAGTACGAACAGGATAGGTATACTAGTAGGGCTGTTGCTGTACCGAATTCGACTATTAGCTAGGTTTTCCTCTAGGTACTTACGTAATATAGCAAGCTCTCGTTTACTAAGGTTGTAGAGGG